TGGAAACTAAGATTTGATGGCAAAGTTAACCCTTTTTCAGTTGTTTTAAGTGTGACAAATACAACTTATGGGTTTGTATTGATCATATAAAATTTGAAAATTTGCTTTGAATTAGGTTGTATGAAGCTTGAATTAGAAAAGTAGAATAGTAGAAATGAGTTTAGATATTAAAAACCTAAACTGAATGAGCAAATGAATGTAGATATCATACATAACTACTAATTGGTTTTGGTAGGTCAAGGTTTATCTAGAACCATAGATTTTCCCTTTATTATATTAATATATAATATAAACTACTTTGTAACTATTATATACTACAATATTTATGCATATTTCATACATTATCTATACTATATATAGAAGTATGGATGCAGAGTGAAAGTTTTTTTTTTTGGACTAAAATTACTCTCTATTTCTTTATTTGAGAAAGGGTATAAAAGTCATTGTATAATATCTTTAATTCCAGCTTTAATGACTACAAAAAATCTAAAATGTTCATATTTGTGTAATTAGTCCATTTTTAATTGTAAGGGTTGAGAATGTAACTTCAGTTATTACTTTCCACCTCATTGAATCCCCTCTCATTAAGTCTTATACTTAAGGTATTAAATCTCATTTTCTCTTATTAAATCATATATTTAAGTTATTTTTCACTAATAAGTATTATTAATTAGATATATGCCATTATTTTTAACAATGTAAACCCATATATTTTAAAACTAACTCAAAAAGAAAACCATTCTTTATCCAAGTGGTGGCTAAGCAATTCAACCATCYGAATCAAATTGATCAACCTATGAAATCATAATTAGGTAATAAAATTTTTAAAATATAAATAAATATAGAAAATTACCAAAATTTAGAAAAAATAGACACATTTATGATATTTTTATTAATCAAATTAAAAAAAATAAGTGTAGTAAACAAGAATATTTTTATTGATAATAAAAATGAAATATATAATTTATAACTGACCAAGAATGAAATTATTTTACTGTTTGAGAAAGATCAATAGTTCAACTTTTGGGTCAAATTTGTTAACCTTAAATGCCATAAATAAATAATAAAACTTAATAAAATATAGAAGTACAAAAATAAAAAAATACATAAATTTTGCAAAAAAAAACATTTAGGCACATGTATAATGTCATATATTTATCATATTAAACAAAAAGTAAGTGTGATATATCTAAATTATTTTTGCGCACAGAAATACAAAACAAATTATAGAAAAATTGAATACATCTATAATTCTATACTTACACTAATATTGATAGCATGGACAAGATTATGGAACTCTTTTTTTACTAAAATACTCATTTTTAAATTTAGTCCCTATTTAATTGTGAGGTCTAAATCATAAATTGAACTTCTACCTTTCACCTCATTCAATTCTCTCTATTTAAATCTTACATTTTTTTTTTGAAAAATGAATAAAAAAAGATAAAACATTATAAAAAAGAGTCTGGACAAGTATGTAGGCCTGTCAATGATACTTGAAACTTCACAACTTGATCTGATTATCACATATTTGGATGAGATGTTTATGTAAGCAAGTTTGGATTTTGCAATCTGCATTCGATTAATAAGGAAAAAACATAAAATATATAAAATACATAAAGTTTGTAGAAAATTTTGGATACATTATCACTGTCATTATCATCATCTAGAATTGCCACATGCAAAAACGTGCACATTTACTAGTATATTATAAACATTGTATAGTACATATTAAACTATTATATGCATATATATGAACTACTATGTATCTATGCATTCGAGGGCCTCCACAAACTACTCCCATGAGGGTCGAGGTTGGTACTCACGGAACCAACTATACCACTCAACCACCCAAACGTCGAATCCCAAACTTGTCGTTGCCACCCAGTTTTCCCTGGGAGCTTCGTGAAGATCGAAGAATTGCTTAATCAATAGTAACCAATCGTTAAGATTGTTACTGTTGAATCGGGGAAGATCCAGCTTGGCATACCTTCGTATTCCTCCTGCCATACCATCGGATGTCATCGCCAATTCCATCACCTGTGGACTCGCCCTGAAAGCTGGGCCCTTTCGACTACCTTCGGCCCATGGAGATCTTTAGGGCAAAAGCCGATTGAGTCACTCCAGTATTTCTATCAGCCGAGCCTGGATCACCTCCTGGGGCCTCTCTATGTTACCCATCTTCTCCTCCATCTCCGCCATCTTTTCCGAGGAGTCTTCCTGCTCTGATACCATATTTTATGTGTCTCAGGAGAACTCACCCCTAAAAGCTAGCTATTAGAGGGAGGGAACCCAAGCACATATATACCCCACAACAGCATCCCATACTATCAATGTAAGATACTTTGTATTAACATCCTATACTATCAATATGGGACAAATGGATCGTAACATTCTACCATGCTCCGCAACCCTAGTGCCCACGCAGGTTGGCTTTGCACTAGTCGACCTAGTCTCACTGAACAGTGCAATACTGACGTCACCACCTGCACCATACGATTGCAACTGGGAGACATAATGTAGGCTCTGATACCAATATGTTGCGCACATCCTCTCGTAGTCTGGTTGCGAGAAGAGAGTGAAGGATTTCTCCGAGCTATAGTGAATGGTCACCGCTCATAGGGGAGGCCGGGAGGGGGTATTCTCTCGAAGAGAAAAACCAGACAAAATGAATGATAGGCTGTACATTTATAATGATTGGAAGGCGGTTGCAACCATCATTGATAATAATCCTAATGATCTCGAGAATGTTCGCCGATTCCTCTATGTGGCTGCTGACGTGGCTGCCAGGCTGTTTTGTCATGCAACACTTCCCCCCATACCAGCTTCTTTAAGCCACCGGAGAGAATGATTTCCGATTAATCTCTCCATTTTTGTGGGTGGCCGGCTCTTATCTTTTCTTTCAGAAGTTTTCTTTTTTTTTTTTTCAAACCTTTGATTCCCATAAATGGTGCTGGGGCTCACAACAAAGCGCAAGAACATAAACCACAGAGTCAGACTTTAACAGAGTTAGTAATCAAAGGTAGTCACGAAGAAAGAAATATGAAGGAAAAGACAATTTAAAAAACAAAAAGCTAGCAAATTAAACAAAAAACACTACAGGAGTAGAAGGAATTAAAGAACTTCCCTGCTGCATGATGATCCTTCTCGTCTCTCCATAATGACCATAAGCTCAAGAACATCGATCTCGTAAAAGCTTCGGAGGGAATGGCCATTTCGAAATCAAGAAATTAAAAACTCTCCCGCGACGTCTGTGCATTGTTCTCTGCGAGTGTAAACGATGCATACAGACTACTCCTTCGGTCGAATATCGCTGCAATGGAGCCCCCGGATCTGGATTCATTACTCAAAGTCTCAAACATTTCTTGCGCAATCGTCGCCATGTCCGTGGCTTATTGACAGCCTACTCCTTCTCATCCTCCATTTTGCAGGAAGATCGTATGATCTCTGTAGCCTAAAAAAAAACTAGGCATTATCTTCTCTAGGGTTTCACATAGGGGTGATCATTTCGGCCTGGTCCAGAAATTCTGGGCTTGGGCCTGGGTTTTGTGTTCAGGCCCAACTCAGGCCCGGGCCCACATCAGGCCCGTAAATTTTAGGTCTGGGCTTGGGTTTAATACTTCAAGCCCGGCTTGACCTGAATATATTTAAACTTACACATTTTGTGTATAATGTATAAATATGCATATATGTTATTTTACATTATATTATATATTTTATATATAAATATTATAACATGGCATGCATAATTCATATTATATATATATGTAATATTTTATATAATATAATGTATAAAATAAGTTTATATGCATGTTATGACATTTAATATATAGATATGTAATGTTTTATATATAAGTGACATTGGCCCGGAATCAGGCTCGGCCTGGCTCGGGCCCGTATAGACCTAGGTTAGGGCTTATGTTTCAGGCCTGGAACCCTGGGCCGGGCCAGGCCCGGGCCTAAACTATAGCCCTTATCATAAGTGCAAAGCCCGGCCCGGCCCATGATCACCCCTAGTTTCACACCTATTAGCGCTAAATTATACTTAAACAACTAATTGACTTGTAAAAGCCTCATAACAGTAGCTTCAGATGGATGAGAAGATTCAAGAACAAAGTGGTTGGGGTCGGGTTCATTTTGCCAACATAAAACCTTAGTGGGCCTTCTGTTTTTGGATTTTGAGAGGGGGGAAAGTTGGTCAATGGGATTTTAGTTTCATTGACCAAAAATCCTATGTTCTTTTCTCAGATTAATGTGGGGACTAGGGAAAGTTTATTTACCCGAGTAAGTAATAACTATCTCCTATAGGTGCATAAATAACTTTTCCGCATAGAGTGAAAATTGTCAACACTTGAATGAAACTGAAATACCCGTTTTAATAATGGATTTTTATGGTTAAAATAGTTGTTGCCTTATTTACATGAGAAATAAAAGAACATGGGTAAATGCACTTACCCAGATAACTACATTTACCCGGATAAATAAGGCCTTATATTTTCTTGTGATTCTTTATTTCAACCAATAAGTTACATGAGTGTATCGTCCAAGAAAATAAATTAAAAGGTTGTGACCTATGTGAGGGTCACATGTATACATAAATATGATACAAAATTAATAAACTGGTTATACTTGTTCTGCTCTGCATTGATGATCGTCAATGGAGGTCATCAATCATCACCACCCATCCTGATGTCAACTATTCAGAATTATATTTCCTGTTTCTGCATTCACTATTTGAACACAGGTGTAAGAGTTTTAAAAACGTCCAAGGGTATGCCAAAGCCAAGGATTTGCTCCATCCTATATATGAATGAAACATCCACTGATTTTGAGATGGGATATATCACATCACTAAAGTTATGCTTGAGCAAGCTGTTCAATTGTTAATGGAACTGATACAGAGGAGTCGCTGAAGAAATGTCTCGCCGCTATAGAATTGATCCCTTCTGTTGGATGATATATATCAAAAAAGTAGTGTGTGTTTGGGGTTTTGCAGGGTGCTACGTTGGGGGTGCATGGCAAGGATCCATTGCCAGCATCAACACAACAGGGCCTTGGGTCATTGATTCCTGTCAGGGAAAACATTCATGATATATATTGATAGATTAGTACAAAATGAAATCCTGAATTCCTGATCAAATGGGTCGATTCTTGTACTACTATATATATATATATATATATATATATCTCACCACTTTTTGTCACCTCCGATGCCATTAATGTAGACAATTCATAAGATTTTAGAGTCACGAAGGTTGAACCAGGGAGGGTGGAACTCTGCCCTTTCAGTAGCTCAATAAGCTTACTGTTATAAACTTCCACAAACTGATTCAGTTCTTCAACACATACTCCTTTGGGCTTTCTTCTGTTAACGATATAAGGAATGCACCCAATTAGACCGAGATTAGCTACTACGAACTTCCTAGCCCCAAGCATATACAGTGCCTACCAAAGACAAAACCCTAATCAGAACAGTTCATCTAAGTACTCCTACATTTCAATTACCAAACCTAATTTGGCTCTGATAATGTCACTATTGGCTTAATTAGTTTTGGAATGAGTAAGTGCAAAACCTTGTATTTTGCATGCATTTGTATTCTTTCCAAACTGAGGGTAAGGCTGCAGTGCAATTTTATTTGCACTTGTACAAATGCATGGGAGTATAAATAAAAAGATTGAAAATTCTGGTTTAATTTTGTTTTGGGTTTTTCTCTATTCTGCTTCAGGTCTTATTTTTACTTCATTTTTACTGTAATCAAACAAAATAAAGTAAAAATTGAAATAAAAATAAATTAATTTGCATTAATACAAATAAATTTGCATTGCAACCAAACACAGCCTAAGCAACAAAAACCAATAAAAAAACAGACATGGTAAAATAAATCAGAAAGTAGTTTTGAGAAGCTGAAAATGATTATTACCTGCAAATTTTGTGATAATCTTTCTGTGAGATCGTTAGAGAGGACTGTAGGCTTGTACCTGGGATTGGAGAGATCAGGTTCATTTAAGTAGGTATAGATGAAGTCATTGCTCCCAATGTTAATGTAGAAAATAGACTTGGAGAAGTGATCAGAAAGCTCATTTGGACCCTTAAAAGTGTTACTCAAGTACTTTTGCACAGTTTCTGTGAACAATTTGAGCTGTGTGTCCAGGCTCAAGTTGGGTCCCTGTACAACGATCGACCACAAAATGGTCAATATTACATCCAATCACGTACCATAGTTGACAAGTTTGTAGTTTGATTTGATTAGAACAATTCACAATTGTCATTGTACGTAGTTTGTCTAAGTCACTGAATCAAATTCAACTTCTTTCAGGCTATCTTTTAATGCAGATACAAATAACAAAGAATGTTTCTTACCAAAATTGTTCCTGTTTCTGGGAGAATGCCTGCTGACCCCGATCCATAATTAATGCCAGTTCGAATCTCTTGCCGCTCTTTCTCTGAAAGACCCAGATATGGAGGGACCAGTGGAAGCCCCAGGGCTTCGGCTGCAACCAAAATCAATAGGTAATCAAGGTCGTGTAGTGAAAAAAAAAATGGAGCAATACTTTCTTCTACCCGTTGGAGGACATGCATCTTACCACGAGTTCACATCTGCGCCCCACAGTACATCTCCTCCACCTTGTATCCCGTAATTGTTATCGGGAGATGTTCCAATACAAGGTGGAGATGTGCTGTGGGGGCATTGTGGGGTGTTCCTTGTGGGGCGCAGATGTGAACTCTCTACCACTTCTTCAGACTTAAACCCCAAACCCTAAAATCTAAGCTCTGAACCTTTAAATCTGGTTTAAAAGCCCTAACTCTAAACCTTAAACCCAATAATCTAAAATCTAAACCCATAAATAACCTTAAAGTTTAAATTTAAAAATGACTAAACCCTAAACCCTAAACCTTAAACTCTAAAATCTAAATTCTAAAGAAACCTTTAATAATTTTAAAGCCTAAATCTCTAAACCCCTAAATCCTAACTCTAAACCTTAAATTTATTGTATAAAAATGCCTTTAGTTGGATGCATGTCATCAGACAGGATAGGAGCCAAGCATTTTCCGAATGTGCAGCCTCTAGAATAAGAAAAGTTAAAAAGGACTACAAAACCATGTAACTATCTCTCTAGAAATCACTTCAATAACAACCCCAGAATTTCAAAAGCTATCTCGGTTTTGAGCAAGGTTTTAAAAACCAGATTGGACACAGATCCATTTTGACTATCAGTTTTCAGGTCAAATGGTCCAATTATCCAGTTTGAACGGACCGCCAATTCTGATTAAAAATAAAAAAATAAAAAGCCAAAAATCATTTATTGGGTCAATGGGTTGATGATTTGATCACTTGGGTCAATAGATCATTGACCAATGAATCAACAGTTTTTGGCCCAGAAACGGTTTTAGGGTAAAATGAAAACAATTCCCTAACTGGTTCTCAGGTCAACCCGTCCAACCATCTGCTCTGATCCGGTTTTCAAAACCATAATTCTATGAATAGCCCCTAAACATGAAAATTAAGAGAGACCAATTTTCTCTACTGAATTTTGAAGAATGTACAACCTTCAAAAATAAAAAGGAAAAAAAAAAGAAAACTAAAAAAGAAAATGCCTCAAGAAAAGGGTTTGAACAATGAAAGATCCAGTGTCCTTCCAAACATTTCATTGACGGACACGTAGTGAAATATTGATTACCTATCCATCAATAGAGTGCTCAAAAGGATCTTCACAAAGTGAAAATTATTCAAAAAAAAATATGGACAGGCTCAATGCAAATTTTTAAATTTCACTGTAGAGCAATAAACATTCAAAATGTCAAAACCCTCACTTTATACATCAATGTTCATTCACCCCAACTGTACTTTAGGCCTAAAAGTTTTAGCCCTGGACTGAACCATCATTCTCCCAAAATTATTTGGCCACAAAAAGACCCTTAAATCAAGATCAGATGAGCTGCACTTGATCAGCGTGTTGTTTAACCAATAATAATGCCCCCACGTTAGCCATGCACATGAAATGGGCGATTGGAGTTACGTGGAGCATATGGCCGACTTGGGACATTATTATTAGTTAATACGTGTCATCTCATCCAAACTCCCGTAAACCACATTCGACCAATGAGTTTGGATCTGTTTCCATTAASGAAATAAGCCACTACAGTCTCACATCAGGAACATCTTTCCTTTGTTGGGACCAGATGGACTAATAAAATGGGAATCATAAAATGGGTCTAATAAGTAAATAGAGATCTCAGGGTCTGTCTGGTTCGCAGTCAGATTTGGTATCGGAATGGTCCATTTCCGGTGTTTGATTTAGATATGAATAAAAATAAGAATTAAAATCAGTAAGAATGAGATTTCATTCTCGAAGGAAGGGCAGGGAATGACCATTCCGTCAAATGGGGGAATAACATTCTAACAAATGAGATTTCGATTCTGCTCAACCAAACAATTAGAATCGAAATAATTCATTCTAATTATGATTCGAGACCCCTATTCCTGCAAACCAAACAGGCCCCACTCCTTGGTTCATGGGGCCTTTTGTTGCAAAAAACGCATGCAGAGCTACAATAATCATGATGATAAACTTTTATGGCTCACCAATGAAATCAACGGAAGTTCTGCCATTGGTAAACCGGCCAGTGGGTCCCGTAGGAAAATTTACTCCATAAGGTGGATAATTTGCTTTGGCTTTGGTAGGTAGATAATTATTGTTGCCACTGTCGATCAGGGAGTCTCCAAACACGTAAATGGCGGCAACAAGTGGTTGATTGGATTTGGCATGGATGAATTGAAGCAGAAAACAAAATATGTGAAGATAAATGCAAGGCTTCATCTTCTGCAAGAGATCAATTGCCTTAAAGAGATATGCCTCCGATCGAGTTGGATATATAGAGGAGTTGTGTAGATAGTTTCTGCTTTCTGTCTTTGTAAGGACATAGATCTATTGCTCTCTGCTTCTCTCACCGTGTTCTCTCGTTCTTGAATTAACTTTTAACTAATTCACTATATTTAGTATTTATCTTTTTTTTTTAAGTCTTGTGGAAGCCTTTCGCGGGATAATTTTGACCATACAGATGGAATGAATTTTAATTCTTTTGTAGCTAATTATTGGAAAGCTAGCTAGTGGCTTCAATATGTCTAAGGCCATGTTAGGGAGTGCTTAAGTTAAAAATAAGTGCTTAAAAACAAGTGTTTATTCGAATAATCACTTATTTGTATTTGGCACCCAACTTTTCAAGTGTTTTTTTTTTTAATTAAGCAGTTATTTTATATTGGAGGTTTGATAGTCTTTTTCTCTAATAAGCATTTGTGACTATTTTGTCCTTCATTTTCTTTCAAGTTTTCAAAATACACCATTTGAAAGAACTTTTATTAAATTATATGGCTTCATTATGAATATAAATTTAGAAATGCACGTAGGAAATCGCCCATACATTAATGCAATTAATGCAGTGGAAATATTCCACCAGGTTGTGGAGTTTTGAAGCATTCACAAAATTGATTGGATAGTGGTCCAATTTGGGATTTTAATCTGATTAAGAAGATGTGAACTGGACCTCAAATAACACTTCCATGTGTAGGCATGGATAATTGACATATATTTAATATAAACATTAACATTCATTGTTGTAGTGTTACCTGTATAAGATAAACAAGAAAATTGCTATACGTTTGATAAGGGTGCAACTTGGCTAGGGTCAGGTTGGGTTGAGTGTTTTGTCTATGGATCTTGTGAGAAGTTAGTTAAATATTATTTTCCTAATGATATATAATAAAAATGTAGGATAATGAAAATATATTTTATTTGATTTTATTAATCTCTATATACTTGATTTTATTAATCTCTATATACCTATGTATATATCTATATCTATATTTATATGTATATTATCTATACTACTTTAAAAAACACGAATAGCCTCAAGAATATTTCTACAATTTTTTAAGGACAAAAGTTACCCCTCCATATTTAAATTTATTGATAAAAAATAAGGACAGATAGGGTAATCGGTTATTGATATTAATTGAGTTGAAAAGAGGTAATGTTAAGACATTCAATGCATTCAATTCTCTCTCATTAAATCCAACATTTAAGGAATTAACTTACATTCACCTTCATTGAATCATACATTTAAAACATTATTGTTTCKTTTCATCATTAAGTTCTATTAATTACATCCACACATAATAGATTAATAATTCCAATAACATAAAAACTTATACTTTTAAAATCTACCCAAAAAATAGTTTTTTCGTCTAAGTGGTGGTAAGAAGTTAAACCATTTTGAGTCAAATGGGCCAACCCATGCTGACACAATTAAATCATAAAATTCCAAAATAAATAATATTCAAAAAGAGAGAACATTTTAACATCACATATTCGACATATTAAACAATAATAAGTACGATAAATAAGAAATATTTTTATTAATGATAGAAATGGAATGTTAAATTTAAAACCAATTGGATATATTCTCCCATTAAATCTTATATTTAAGATATTTTTTCATAATTAAATTCTACTAATTAAAGCCAAACCATTAATTTTAATAGTATAAAAATAAATATTTTGACATATAATTTGAAAACAAAACCATTTTCTTCCCACCCAGTGATCTAGTGGTGGATAAGCAATTCGACCATTTTGGGTCAAATGGGTTAATAAATAATGTCATAATTAAATAATAAGAAATTAAAAAATAAAATATAATATAAATTTGACATATCTCTAATATTGTATTATACTAAAAAAAATAAGTTTGAAACATAAGAAGCATTTTTATTAATGATGAAAATGAAATTCCAAATTCAAAATCAACCAAGAAATGAAATTATCTCATAGTCAAATAATAAAATTTTTAAAAATAGAAAATGCAAAGAATCACAAAAATAAAAAATTGAGAAAATTTTAAGTACATATCTAATGTTATACATTTATAAAAAATAAAATATTGGGTACATATCTAATATTATACATTCGTTATATTGAACAAAAACAACTATTATATATAATAAATAATTTTATTAATTATGGAAATGTAATACAAAATTTAATGTCAACCTAGAAAGCAAACTTTTTTTCTTTTGGGGTGGTGGGTTAGTATTTGGGTCAAATGGATTAATCAATGACATGTTAGTTAAATAATGAATCTTTAAAACATTATAAGTACAAGTAATCAAAAGAATAAATTAATTATGTCAAACAAAAATTAAGTGTGATAAGTAAAAAATATTGTATATAATGTAAATAAATATATAATTTAAAACTGATCCGAAAGCAATGTTATTTTCTCATTGGTTCTATTAATTAAATCCATACATAATAAATTAATAATTCCAATAATATAAAACTTATACTTCTAAAATCTATCAAGAAAAAATAGTGTTTTCATCTAAGAAATTAAACCATTTTGGTTCAAATGGGCCAACCCAAACTACCACAATTAAATAATAAAATTCAAAAATAGATAAAATAAGAAAAAAGGGGTAACATTTTAGTATCACATATTTTGGCATATTAAATAATAAGTATGAAAAATAAGAAATATTTTTATTAATGATGGAAATGGAATGTAAAATTTAAAACCAGTTG